TGAATTTATTTTTAATTTAAAATTTATAAGTAAAGTTAATAATGTATAATTAATAATATACATTTAATATCTTTATTGTGTCAAATACATATGGCGCAGTGGTTAAGACCTACGGCAAGCTACAGCTGCTAACCAAAAGGTCAGCAGTTCGAATCCACAAGCCGCTCCTTGGAAACTCTATGGGACAGTTCTGCTCTGTCTGTAGGATCGCTATGAGTCCAAGTCAACTTGACAGCAATGGGCTTGGTTTATATTTTGGTTTATTTACTATATTATATTTTCATAAAATAATTATATATAATTTTAATTATAAATCTACAACTTAGAATACATGTAATTTAAAATTGCATACATAAGTAAAACATTTTGTAAATTTTAATTTAATTTTAAACTGTGGTACATGTTATAAAGGGAAAGCACAGGCAGCAGTGATGTAAAATACCTGGTGGGATCTTGGACAAGGTGTTGAAGGAAAGACTCTCCAAGAGGGTGAAGTTTTCTGCCTTCTCTAAAAGATATTCAAGTTTTAACTGCTGGAGGAGCAAGAGGGGAGGGAGGTGTTCTAGGAAGAGGGAACAGTGGGTACATTCATCTTGTGGTTGGAAAAATCCGGAAGGAGCTGTTCATTTTTTGTGTCATGGGGACAGTTATATCCACCATGCAGGGTGCAGTGAATATTAGATAGTTAATGTACATAAACCACAATGCACTGTGCCTGGCAACTTCCAGCAACATGAGCACATCTGGATCTCAGTTTCTTCACCCAGAGCAAATGTTTCCACCCATCAGAGGGCTGCTGCGAAGAACAGATGAACTAGAAATGGAAATTCCTGCACTCCAGATGGGAACCCAGGAAGAGGCCAGCAGGGGTGGTTCCTGATCTCTGTTCCTACTTGTCAGTCTCTACAAAGGTCCACAAATGGTGGAGAGAGCAGCATTGTCCAATGGAACTTCCGTGTGAGGGAAATAGTGTATACCTGCGCTGTCCAATATGGAGACCACTGATCACGTGTGGCTACTGAGCATTTGAGCAATAATGCTGAGAATCTCACATTGTAATTACTATCTAATTTTAGTTGAATTTAAATTTAATTAGCCAAATGTGGCTACCATATTAGTCAGCATGTATCTAGAACATTTCCATCATCATAAAATGTTCTATGGTCTAGAAGTTCTTTGGGAAGCCCTGGTGAGGGAGGTGGGGGTTACTCAGAGCCTTGTTTGTCCAACTCAGACTTCTGACCCCTTCTCCTTCTGATTCCTTGTACAATGGAAGATAGAGAGGATTTGGATGACACTAACAATAAGGGTGAGTGATGGGGACAGAGGCAGGAGGTGTTCAGCCCTGGCCCTGGGAGGCAGGCCCCCCATTCAGACTGGAAGCTCCTGGAGCATGGGGCTGGTGATTGTCTCTTGGGACAGGGGAAGACAATGGGCTTTGGAACCATTCAGATTTCAGCTTTGCCAATGACTAGTCGTGTCCTTGTGGACAAAAGACTTCAGCACTCAGGACCCTGGTTTGTAAAATAAGGATGCTAATTCTTGTGTTGCAGGATTATGACGTAGATGAGAGATTATATATATGCATGTAAGTATGTACATGAGAAGCACTCAGCTGTGTGTGGTATGCAGTAGGTGCTCAATAACTGTGAGCTGTTGTGGTGTGCAGTAGGTGCTCAATAGCTATCAGCTGTGTGTGGTGTGCAGTACGTGCTCAACAGCTGTGAGCTGTGTGTGGTATGAAGTAGGTGCTCAATAACTGTGAGCTGCTGATATCCTGATCTCATCTTCCCTAGACACAACTGGTTCTCAGATCCTGCCACCAGAGCTGCGTTACATTCTTATTGGAATCTCTGCGGTCTTTCTCCTTTGTCTCCTCCTTCTGGCCCTCTTCTTCCTCCATCATCAGCGTCAGAGAAAACATGGTAGGTGTCAAGGACAGGGGTGGGTGACCGGGACAGGTTGTTGGGGGGCCCTGGAGAGAGGGCCTCTTTCCTGAATTGAGACCACTGATTGTCCCCAGGGATCCCCAGAAGCAAGGGCGAGGAGCAAAATCCACAGGAGAGGTGAGGCTACTGGGAATGACTCCTGAGCCCCCACTTTGCTGCCCAGATGCCCATAATACTCATTTGTTCTTTCTCCTCAGGTTCGGGCCAGGTGTTGATGTCCTAAAGAGCACACCAGGTAAGGGGGTAATGAGGAAGGACAGGCCTGGAAGAGGGGAAGTGAGGATTCAGTGAAAACGAGAACACAATAGGGGGAGAGGGGAATGTTTGGGAACATTCAAGAATGTTCTATTTGGGGTGAGGGATGAAATCTAAAGCTATGTGATTTCAGGCATATTTGTTTTCTAAGGTCCACCCCACAGTAATGATCACATGTCCTCTCCCCTCCAGATATGGCCACAGTGAATGGACTTCCTGAGAATGACAGAAAGATGGACACCTCAGTAAGTCTTTGTATTCATTATCTGTTGTTACATAACAAAGTGCTCCAAATTTAGCAGCTTAACAAAATTATGCCAGTTTCTTGGGTCAGGAAATTGGAAGTGGCTTTAGTTGTGTGGTTCTGGCTCATGGTCTCTCATGAAGTTGCTGTTGAGATGTTGACCAGGGCTGCATTCATCTGAAGGCTTGACTGGGGCTGGAGCATACATTTCCAAGATGGCTACTCCCACAGCTCTTGGCAGGAGTCCTCAGTTCCTCACCACATTTACCTGGCCATGGCAGCCAAATTTCCCCAGGGTCAGGAGTCCAAGAGAGGGCAGGGCAGAAGTCACAATGTCTTACATGGCCTTGCCTTGGAAGTGACATGTCATCACTTCTGCCAAATTTTGTTGGTCACACAGTAGTTGTTTTTAGCTGTCATCTAGTCGGCCTCAACTCATGACGACCCCATATACAACAGTTTTAGACCGTTGTGATCCATAGGGTTTTCATTGGCTGAATTTTGGAAGTAGATCACCAAGCCTTTCTTCCTAGTATGTTAGTCTGGAAGCTCTGCTGAAACCTGTTCAGCATCATAGCAACATGCAAGCCTCCATTGACAGATGAGTTGTGGCTGCACATGAGGTGCATTGGCCAGGAATTGAACCCAGGTCTTCTGCAACAAGCCCTGGTGGCACAGTGGTTAAGCACTCGGCTGCTAACCGAAAGGTCAGTGGTTCAAACCCACCAGTCACTCCACAGAAGAAAGATGTGGCAGTCTGTTTCTGTAAAGATTTACAGCCCTGGAAGCTGTATAGAGCAGTCCTGCTCTGTCCTATAGGGTCGCTATGAGTTGGAATTGACTCAACGACAATGGTGTTTTGTTTGTTTTTTTTTAAAATGGGACTCTTGCATGGAAGGTGAGAATTCTACCACTGAACCACCACTGCCCTTTTAGTCACATAGCGCAAACCTGATATCATGTAGGAGAGGACTACACAATGGTGTGATCATTGAGGGCCATCTTGAAAGCTGGGTACCAATCATTACTCCCTAAAGCCCCCTCCCCTCACCGTCAGCCACTCTGACTCACCCTGGTCTCTCTCTCTCAGGCCCCTACTGCAGGAAACCCCCAGGAGGTGACATACGCTCAGCTGGACCACTGGGCCCTCACTCAGGGGGCAGCCCCAGCAGTGTCCCCACAGTTCACAGAGCCCATGGCCAAGTCCAGCATGTATGCATCCCTCACCAAGCGCTGACTACAGGGCCCACGTGGCTGCTGCACCTGAGGACACAGGACATCACTCTGGGAAGGGCTTGGAGTAGACACGTGGAGGGCTTCCCCATGCAATCATCTCTTCTCTGAAGAGTCAGCCAGTCAGCTCCCCAGGAGATAAGAGCTGGGATCTGGAGGTCCCTGACTAATACCTAAGAGATTCGGTAACCAGGCAATCTCTTCCACAATTAACCAGCTTCTTAGAGATACTGTATTGCAGCTGTTTCCAGACATCCCCCTACAGTCACTCCATTGTTTCTAGAGGCCCAGCCACAGCTGCCCAGCTCTTTCCGGAGATCCAGCTACAACTACTCAGCTGTTTCCAGAGACCCTGCTATAGTCACTCAGCTTTTTCCAGAGACCTGGCTACAGTTACCCAGCTGTTTCCAGAGATCCAGCTATAGTTGCCCAGCTGTTTCCAGAGATCCCACTATACTTGCCCAGCTGATTCCACAGACCTAGCCACAGTCGCCAAGCTGATCTCATAAACCATGTTGCAGTCACCCAGCTGCTTCTAGGTGCCCCTCTCCTGTGAATTCCCAAATACCACCAGAGACTCCATTTTAATTATTTACTCACTGACTCTATGGATCTTCCTAGAGCTCAGTTGCTGGCCTTGAGACTGTATTATTCTTATGCAGCTGATAACTGAGACCCAGTTTTTGGATCACGCTTTACTTCGCTCACCAATAAATATTTCAGAGGCCTAACCTATGGCAGCCCTGCACTTGGTGCTGGAGTGCACAGATTACTGGGTCCCAGTCTCTGCCTCCATAATTGTTCAAAACTTAGTGAGAGAAACAAGACCGACAAAGGAAGCGTCAGTGGTTTCTGATTGTGTGTGTGTTAAGAATGAATGAGGGAGGGATCTGAGGGGTTGTGTCGCCAGGTGAGGGCAGAGAGCTGGCCCCACCTGATGACAGCCCACTAGCCCCTACACACACACACACACACACACACACACACACAGAAACATACACGCACACACTCACTCAAGTACACACATGCACACATACATGCATGCACACATCCATACATATGCACTCACCCATACGCACACATGGCAGTTCACACCCACCCAGAGGTGCCTTGGAAGACAGGCCTGGTGATTTGTTTCTGAAAAGTCACAGCTTTGAAAACCCAATGGAACAATTCTACTCTGCACACATGGGGTCACCATGAGTCGGAATTAACTTGACAGCAACTAACAACAACAACCTCATGGCTTCTGCTGCAGATGCTCAAAGGACTCTTTGCTGACTGGATCAGTCCAGGAAGTTGGCTTGGGTCTCAAGCCTCCTTGATTTGGCCAGCACAGTGGCTCCAGCTTCATCCCATCCTCTCTTTTATTGGACAGTCAGGCTGTCCCTCTTCTGGGTTCTCAGTGGCCTCCACATTTCCCACACCCACTAAATTTTTCACATACTCCTCATCATTGCGTGTGCTGTACCCCAACTCCCCTTCACACACACCTGTGTACATATGACCTCTCAGCTAGGAGATTGGTCAGCATTCCCAAGGTCTCTTTCTGGTCAGGCTTGTGGTCAGCATGGGGAATATGGGGATGAAGGTGACATGGCTGTTTTAGTTATTAGTGCTGCTATAACAGAAATACCACAAGTGGATGGCTTTAACAAAGAGAAATTTATTCTCTCACAGTCAAGGAGGCTAGAAGTCCAAATTCAGGGCTCCAGCTCCAGGGGAATGCTTTCCCTCTCTGTCAGCTCTAGGGGAAGGTCCTTGTCATCAATCTTCCCTTGGTCTAGGAGCTTCTCTGCACAGGAACCCTGGGTCCAAAAGATGAACTCGGCTCCTGGTGCTGCTTTCTTGGTGGTATGAGGTCGCCATGTCTCTCTGCTTGCTTCTTTCTTTTATATCTCAAAAGAGATTGGTTTAAGACACAATCTAATCTTGTAGATTGAGTCCTGCCTCATTAACATAACTGCCACTAATCCCATCTCATTAACGTCATAGAGGCAGGGTTTACAACACATAGAAAAATCACATCAGATGACAAAATGGTGAACAATCACACAATACTGGGAATCATGAACTAGCCAAGTTGATAGATACTTTTGGGTGACACAATTCAATCCATGACAGTGGCCTTGGTCCTAGAAGCTCACAGCCCAGGGAGATGGTGGGAGATAAGAAGAGTGGACAGGGGCATAGTGATGAGGGAAGATGGGGGTCCTGAGCTAGCTCTGGGGCCTAGGGACAAGCAGGAGAGAAAGGATTCCTGGACACATGAGGAGACGCAACTTGGCTGGAGTGTGCTTAGCATGTGTGGGGACAGCAAAGGGGCCATAGGCTGCAGTGGAGTTGCCTTAGTCTGGGTTCTCTAGAGGGGCAAAATCTGTGAACTGTATATAGACATATACAGATAGATTTACTACACGGAAATGGCTCATGCAATTGTGGGGGCTAGCAAGTCCCAAATCCGTGGGTCAGGCAGCAGGCTGCTGGCTTATGGGGTTGCAGGGGCTGGTGAATCCAAACTCTGCAGATCAGGTGGCAGGCTGAAGGCTTCCTCACATCCCAAGAACCAGAAGTCAAGCAGCCAGAAGAGTGCAGGATAGAAAGAGAGAGTGAGATTTGCCAGAACATCTTTTTATATAATGGATGCAGGCCACACCCCCAAGGAAACGCCTCTTCTAACTGATTGGCTGCTCACATCAGATCACAAAATGGGAGATGATTACACAGAGTGTGCCAAACTACTGAGAGTCAAAGCCTAGCCAAGTTGATACGTAACAGTAATCATTACAGGATTGGACAAGGAGGTGAGACCAAGATCTCCCAGGGGAGGGTCCCTGTGGACCACTGTAAGGTCTTTAGCTTCACTCAGCATGAGACGAGACGTTTCCCACTTTCTCCCTTCTCCAGGCTCGTCCACACTGAGCTCCATGAAAGTCTCCAAACACAGCACTTGTCCACTTGGCTCTAGGACATTGGCCTTGCTCTTCCCTTTGTCCTTCTCACCTGGCTAATGCCCTCCAATTTTGAAAACAGACATTGTCCTTCTGAATAAGCTTCAGTGACTTCTTTTTCTGTCATCACATCTCCTTCCCTCCGTCTTTCAGACACCCAGAGTAAAACAGAAAATTACTCTGCCAATATTAGGGGGCTAGACCCTCTTATGTGGATTAACTTTTGATGTGTGTATTAAAAAATAAACAAATAAACAAAAGAAACCTGAATGTGTGTTACAGGTCCAGTACTAAAAAAACTTATATATTAGAAAAAGAATATTTTTAAAAAATTAAACAAAAGCATAAATCAAAAAACAAACAATAAAACCATCGCCATTGAGTCAATTCTGACTCATAGCAACCCTATAGGGCAGAATAGAACTGCCCCATAGGGTTTCCAATGCTGTAATCTTTACAGAAGCAGACTGCCATATCTTTCTCCTGCATAGTGGCTAGTGGGTACGAATGCTGATCTTTCGGTTAGCAGCCAAGAGCTTAGCCACTGTGCCACCAGGGCTCCTTCAAACAACAACTGCCCCATAGCGTTTCCAAGGAGTGGCTGGTGGATTTGAACTGCCACTTAACCACTGTGCCACCAGGGTGCCAACAAAAACATAGTACTTATTATGGGGAAATAGCTATTCTTGTTGTAAGCAAATATTAACACATTCTATTCTCATTCAAACTATGCACAGTATGTCCTATTATTACCTAATATTTACTTGAAGAAATTGAGGAAATGAAATGTTAAGTAGCTTTCCCAAGTTCAACCAGCTACTCAGTGTTGGGGCTGCAGGCCATGTAGGGGCGCCAGATTCCGTGTCTGAACCCAGGAAAAGTTGCCTCCCATTGGGCTGAGGTGTTTCTCTCTTGGTGCAAAGAGGGTGAGGGCATGGCCTTTCTACTTAATTTCAATTTGCATTGAGTTTTCCTTTTCCATTTATACTCAAGTTTAATTTTCCCCAGAGATCTACTCCCCAACCCTATAGTCTTTAACTTTGCTTTTGTCTGTTGACACTTTGTACTCAATTTCTCTGTTTCAAATGCAATACATCCTCTCTCTCTCACACACAGGCAGTTATCTTTCAGCTATTAGATGCGTGCATTGTCCCTTAAATCTTGTTTGTTTGAGTCTGACTCAGACGAGAAGAGGGTGGGTAACTGGACTCTTTCTTTACTGTTTGTAGAGAAGGTTTTGTAAATTATTTTGCCTCCCTCAAGAGCACTGGCTGGCCAGGTCATAGTGACTGCCCCAGTGAAAAGAAGATTCTGCTTCTGCCAGTAAATCCAAACAGCAAGGCTAGAGTGGGTGGAGGGGAAATGAAAAACGACAGCAAAACAATTATTCTATCTTGCGAGACTGGTGGGAATAAAAAAGGGGGGACAAAGAAGAAGACAGAAAAGCAGACACCAGGGACCACGCTTTTCTTCTTGACCTTCCAACCTGCCCCAAACCAAAAAACCAAATCATTGCCATCGAGTTGATTCTGACCCATAGCAACCTCATGTGACAGAATAGAACTGCCCCAATAGGGTTTCCAAGGCTGTAATCTTTATGGGAGCAGACTGCCACATCTTTCTCCTGTGGAGTAGCTGGTGGGTTCCAACTGCTGACCTTTTGGCTAGCAGCCAAGCACTTAACCACTACTCCACCAGGGCTCCTTAACCTACCCGAAGCAGGGGCCAAAATTTAAGGGAAATAGGATCTACAAACATTTGTATCTGGACAGTACATCTTCTTGTGCTCCTCAGCCCCAAAGTGCTACCGGGAGGATCAGCCTTAACTAATTACACATAGTGGTGCAGCATGGCTAGGCAGAGATACTTCTGATCCCCTTCCTCATTCCCGGGGCTGTGTGTCCAGGGGTGAAAGCCAGCGAGTCTCTCATGAGGCCCATCATGGTAGGCAGGAGAGATTCCACCCGACCACAAGGGGGCAGGAGACAATTCTCGGAGGCATCCACGGAACCCCTTGGACTAAGCGGAAATTGAGTCAGCAAGAAGGATCCCCAGACTCTAAGGGAGCAGAGAGGCTGGGCCCCATGGTCATTAGGTACAGACATCAAGTGTGGCCTCTAGCAACCTGGTGAACAAGCCTGGGGAGGCACATCCAGCTCAGGGCCAAGGACCAGCAGAAGGCTGCAAGGCTATCCGTCCCCTCTGCAAATAAATAGCCACATCTGCCACCCACTTCCCTTTACAATGGACACAATCTTAGGAAGGAGCACTGGGGAGGAGGGTGGAACAGGAAAGACCACATTAAACCTAAAGAGAATGTTTAAAATGATTGGAAAGGGCTGGGTTTTAAATTCTAGGGAATCTGGTTGTGTGTGTGTATGTGTGTGTGAGAGAGAGAGAGAGAGAGAAGAGAGTATTTCCCTGTTATTTACTAGGGGCAGCTGATGATTTAGATAGGATCAATTATAGACAAAATAAAGACATTTTATTTATTCTGTCAACCTGATCTACACAAGCACGCACATAGACATAGCTATGACTATACCTTGGATCTCTTTCACGTAGTACTATTTATCTTCTCTAGGTTTTAATTTTCTAACAAATGGACTGTACTTGATCAGCATTTTATAATACTTCCATTAAATAAAACATCACCTGGTCAATGAAAAATGCTAGATAAATGCTGGAAGACTTTTATGGTTCCCCGTTTTCATGTGGGGAATCTAGGAGTTTGTGTGCAGAAATGTGATGCCTGAGAACAGTCAGCCTGTTAGAACCAAAATCCAAGATGTTAAAT